TTCTCCTAGTATTTGGGGTGCTTTCACAGAAAAACTGTTAAATATCACTACCTTTTTTCAATGCCCTTTATAGTTATGTGAGTATTGCGCCGATTGCGTGGTTTTGAATATGCAAGAACGGTTAGTGACTGGGTAGTAATATGAGACATAGATCTGACAACCTTGTATTTTTAAGAGTTTGAGGGGAACCAGGATTAAGCATATTTGTATTAGTCATGTTCATCAAAAATAAATCTTGTCACTATGGAGTACTTACATTTTGTCCATAAAACACACGTAAAATTACTTAATTAATTACTCAAAATATTTAGCTAGCACGCACATAAATTATTGAACGAATTTCAAATGTTATTACTTTCCCGATTTTTCGTATTTTTCTAAGTCAAATCGAACGCGTCTTCCGAGGCAGCTACGCGACTTTTCAACCGGGCAAACTCATTTGGATCTGTAGACTTTTATTCAAACTGGACAACTCAACTGTTTACTGGCAACTGTCAAATGGCAACTGAAACCGTGGTTTTTATATCTTCCAGCAAATCGTCAACAGGCGGTCATTTGCCTAGTAATCCGACACTTCCATTGGCCAACCTAATTATTATTAAAAATAATGATGCAATTTCCTTGAAATTTTACATCATTTTAAGCCTAAAATCGATTAATTATGTCGCAATATTCTGATTTATTGAGGTCAAAACATTATTGGTTCAAGAATGCCATATATCATCAAATTAATTAACATGCTGACCTTGCTAAGAAAAAAGTTCATTGATCGGGTTTTAGTGATGTCACTGTCCTCGTTTTTATCATTTTTAAGAATTTAATTTAGATGATGACTGGATACAGATTTAAAAATACCGGAATTAAATTTTGATTATTTGATAAAATTTAATTTTTACAGTAAAGACTTTGTAATTAGCGGGTCAAATTTCTGGATCATCACACCAGTATAAAATGTACACAAAATAGCGTTTGAAATACCACAAATAAGAAACAATAAAATACTTTTATAACTATTTTATAAATGTGTAACTTGAAGCAAATCTATTTTAAAAATGATTCCAATATCGGTAATAATAAAATTATCATATAGATATTTTATAACTACTCTTATTATAGGTCTATAGCAGTAGTAAAGTAGTCGCATAGCTGTCACTCTCGATCATTATAAGCATTTTAATACGACAGATATATTTTATAAAGTGGTCCGTTTTCGTGTTTTTGTATTATAATTGCCTATCAGATAACTATAAGAATTTGTATACGAGTAGAATGTCTTACGATACTGCTATATAGCAGCATATAAAACACTAATAATAAACATATTTGTGTTGGTTGGAGGGTAGGCATATTTTTTCTATTCCAGGCACTTGAATTTTTTTCACACTGAGAAATTTAAAGAAACCTCAAGCCCTTGGAATAAAGAGAAATTAGGAAAGAAAACTTAAGCAATAAAGAGATGAAACTTAAGAAAACATGAGCGGACAAGAAACAAGCCGTTAGACATTTTTTTTCTATTCCAGGCTCTTGAATTTTCTTTACTCTGAGAAATTTGAACAAACCTCAAGAGCCTGGAATAAACAAAAATTGAGACAGAAAACTTGGCTGATGGAAAAAGGAAAATTGAGAGAAAATAAGTAGATAATTTTTTTTAATTCCAGGCTCTTGAATTTTCTTCACTTTGAGAAATTTGGAGAAACCTCAAGAGCCTGGAATAAACAAATATTGAGACAGAAAACTTGGGGCTAGAAAAAAATAAATGGTCGGATCGGGACGAGCTGATTTAGGAGGGAGAGGCAGAAAGTTGTTACTGTTTGTGAAGTGTTTTTAGTGAACCCGGAATCCGTGACATATGATTTTTAACCCCAGAAAATTTAAAGAGAATTGAAGTAAGGCATTCCGTGACGCATTCAGATTAATTTGAGTGTGATATTTGGTTCAAAAAAAAAAAAAAAAAAAACTACTCCTAGATCGTGAGTGATTGTGCATTACATTACAAGTGCTTAAGGAGTAGGTATTATTATAACACCAGCGCGGCATATTGCCAAAATATGATTTTAAATGTTACATTTGTCAAACAAAAATTACAAACTTGTTCTCAATAAGTTTTCAGAATGGATTTTTAAAATGTTAGAAGAAAATTTTGAAGCATTATTGAACAGACTCTCAAGAATTCAAAACTGTTTCAATCGTCCAAACAGCTCCTTCAGCAGTAGAGTGGCCTGAAATTGCGTCTAAATTAAAAATTAAAGTTATGTAGTGACTACAGAAATTTCAATCAAGAATGCCAGGAGAGATCATCACTCAGACAACACAACCAGAAACTTCAATTAAAATTAATCTGAACATCGATATCCAGAAATTATTGAAAGCCGATACCCTTCCTCTCAAGAATGACCAGCCAATAGGAATTAAACAAAACAATTGACTAATACATTGGAATGTGAATAAAGCAAAAGTTCATGGACCTTTTTCAAGTGCTTTCAACCATCAACATTTCAAAGGAACCGAAAAATTCCTAGAAGCTTTGCTAGAAGAATCAATAAATACGCACGAGCCTATATGATGATACCTACTCAACAAACCACTTAGCGACGCGTTTCAAAATTAATAAAAGGGCACCAAATATACTAATTGATCGGATGATTCAACCACGTAAAATCGAGGTCAGAAAAACAAAGAAATTCAAGACAATGGGGCGTAAAAGGCGACTTTGGCAGGAGAAAAGCAGAGTATAATTTTAATTTTGGAATTGAAACTTGAAATTTGGAAACTGCACTGAGAGAATTAGGTAATTTTAGACCATTATAAAAATCTTAATACCCTTAATAAAAATATCGTATAAAATGGGGGACAGCTAAGCGCTGTAGTTACCATTATCAAAGTCACTTTATAAACTACTACTTTGCTACCATTGATAGACCAATTAAAATGGGGAAGTTCAAGTACCAGTTGAGTTCAGCTGAACTCTGTTTTGAACCAAGATTGTACAACTGGGCTTAAGGGTTATTAAAAATGTTATGGTACTATTAAATTGCATTTGGGAAGAGGTAAAAATAAAAGACAATGGGTATTTTTTAAACCAAACTTTTATTGATTGTTGATACCTACATATTATTATGGTGACATTAAAAATAAATAAAAGCTGCATCAACAGCAATCATATAAATGATCAAAATTTCGAATCGTATATGTATACCTACATAACTACTGAAGTATGTAATACAAAAAATACTACTTGGAAAAAGAAAAAGCAGGTAATAAGAGAGTTTTCATTTTTAATTTATATTTTCTTAAAAAGGACTCTTGTTTTGCAAAAAAAATGCAGAAAATCCTAGCTTCAGTTACTTTGTGCAATAATTCCAAATCTGAAAATTAGTGAAAGCATTGAGGGGGTTATATTTATAACTACTCAGAGCTCACCTTCGATAAATGACTGTAAGCCCCACTCTAGAAGGGCAACTTTATACGCCATTGTCAGACCAGTGCCAGTGTGAATCCAAAATCCAAGGTTATAAATGATAATTCAAAATAATTTAAATAATTCACCAACGGCACCAACGCACTAACTAATCAACGCTTACAGCAAAAAATGGCGCGACACGACACAAACACCTGATCACAAATATGCGGGATCATGCTACATGCTTGCACGGAAGCAATAATTGGAATGCACAGAAAAATGACAAAAAACCATTATGGCGCGCTTATAACGGCCCGCTTAAATTTATTATGGCTATAACGCACATTTTAAAGACTGAAAATCAACTAATAGTTGTTAAAAAACGTAGATCGATGGTTATGAAGATTAATTTTAAAGATCGCGTGTAGTAGCCATATTAAAGTATCTAGCTACTGTAGTAAATTCGTATGAAGAAATTTGAATACAATACATCAGTAAATTAAATTTTTAACAAGAGTAAAGTATTTTATAGGAGCTCATAGATAACTATAGGTGATAATGAGGATAATTCAACAAAGAATTTTTAGCAACCATAAAAATACGTTATTCAGTAATAGATAGATAATTTATGGCAGTTATTAGAGATATTTTGTCTACAATGAAGAAAATTCCTGTAAGACAATTTAAGAATTTAATTTCCTCAGTGTGTTAAATAACAATTGGAAATTGAAATTTGAATTTTGGAAAATTTAAGATGCAAATTTTAATGGTTATTTGGATTTTAAAAATTTAAATGGTTATTTGAATTTTAAAAATTTGAAATAGTAATTTGATTTTTGGAAAACAACACTAATTGAAGAAAGGTTAAAATATAATTTGGATAAATGAAAAAATGACTCGATTACTTAAGATTTTGATTTGGTTTTAACAGTTTTGCACCTGAGAAGCTCCAAAATTGAAATTATCCAGCATTGAAAATATTCCAAAAATGACACTTACATTCTCTGCAAATCTAGTAATTAGAATTTTGATTTGGTTCTAACAGTTTTGCAGCTGAGAAGCTTCAAAATTGAATTTATCAAACATTGAAAATTTTCCAAAAATGACACTGGGACAGAGTTTGCCTCACAGCTCCTTTAATTTTCATCCGATGTCAACGCAATTAGACTCTAATTAAAGCCAATTAAATACTCTATAAAATACATTTATTGGAATTTTATTCAACAGTGTTACTCCTGAGACCTTCGAAATTGAAATTATTCCAAAAATGACTCTGAGACAATTTTTGCTTCACAGCTCCTTTCATTTTCATCTGATTTCAACACAATTAGGCTCTAATTAAAGTCAATTGAATTCTCTACAAACTTTACAATTGAGATTTTGATTTGGTTCTAACAGTTTTGCACCAGAAAAGCTCCAAAATGGAAATTATCGGACAATGAAAATTTTCCAAAAAATTACACTGAGACAGTTTTTACCTTATAGCTCCGATAATTTTCAATTTTCATCCGATTTCAATTGTCTGCAAATAAAAGTACCAAGTATCAATCTTGTTTATATCAAACCTGCTCAATTATCTTAAGCCTCTTTTTTCTTCTAGATCAAGTAACTTAAAACCAGGCAAAAGCTTCATTTATTGGGGCCTAGACAAAGATTACCCAGCAGTTTCAATAGTAGGCCTGGAAAATGAAAAACCTGAAGACGATATAGAATTACGAAACGCCGCAAACGAAAATGTCCGATTGGCCGCGACAGCCGGAATTAAATCACTGGACGGGGCGGGCGTGAAAAATATTTTCGTAGAAAACTTCTCCAATCCAGAATCTGCTGCTGAAGGGTCGGTTTTAGCTTCGTGGAAATTTCAGGAGTACAAAGCGAAAAAGGACGAATTGCCTTCGGTGCAGTTATTCGAATCCGGCGACGATTCGGATTGTGAAAAATGGAACAAGGGAGCTTTGAAGGCTGAAGCACAAAACATTGGTGAGGAGGTTTATTTAGTTGGTAATAAGTACGTAAATAGGGTTTATGTTTTAGCACGAAAATTGGCAGATACACCAGCAAATTTACTCACTCCGACTATTTTTGCTGATTATGCTCGAGAGCTTCTGACTCCATTAGGCGTAGATGTTAAAGTTTACGATGAAAAATGGGCTCGAGATCAGAAAATGTTTGCGTTTTTATCAGTGGCCCAAGGATCTATTGAACCTCCTAAGTTTTTAGAAATAACTTACAAGAATAATGGTATGTAATTTATCCAGCATTACAAAATGCTTCTTGATACATCTCTACATGTTTCAATTATTCTTATTTCAGATCAAGCTCCATATGTGTTAGTAGGTAAAGGAGTCACATTCGATGCTGGCGGTATAAGTATCAAGCCTTCAGCTAATATGGACCAAATGCGTGCAGATATGACAGGTGCCGCATGCGTTTTAGCCACAGTCTACGGCCTGGCTAAACTCAATGTACCAACAAATCTGAAAGTCCTAATACCACTTGTAGAAAACTTACCATCGGGCTCTGCATTTAAACCCGGCGACCTTATTTATGCTAGGAACGGTAAAAGTATTTGCGTGGACAATACCGACGCCGAAGGACGCTTGATATTAGCCGACGCTCTTTGCTATAGCGCTGAGTTTAAGCCTCAATGGGTGCTGGATATTGCCACTTTAACGGGTGCTATGATGGTGGCACTTGGTGACGTCGCCACCGGGGTTTTTTCCAATTCAAATCAACTTTATAACTTATTGGAAAAGTCTGGCACGGAAACTGGAGACAGAGTTTGGCGGATGCCGTTGTGGAAAAGTTACACGAAAAAAATTGCCGAAAATCCTGCGTATGATTTGAATAATATAGGGAAAGGTAGAGGTGGTGGCGGTTGCACAGCAGCGGCATTTCTCAAGGAATTTGTCCCAGAAAAAACTAGTTGGTTGCATTTAGATATTGCGGGAGTTATGGGACCTGAAAATGCAGAACCTTATTTGGGGAAAGGGATGAGCGGTAGACCAACAAGGACTTTAATAGAATTTATACAAAGACAAGCAAATAAGTAATTAAACTGTTTTATTATCAGATATCGTTTTTGTTTTTTTGCAGCTAGTGAATTTTAAATAAAAAATCCAAAAATATTGATGGTCTTATCTTTATTAAATGTTTCAATATCACAATTTTGAAATTCGGTAACGTTACGAATAACACAAAAACTTTGAAATAAAAAAACTCTACACAAGTGTCAAAGAAAAAACCAAAATTACAACTATTTACAAATTTTTTTTAAATGGTAACAAATATAATGTGCAAAAATTTTGATAGGAATCACAGAACAACGTTTAGTATTGCCAATAATAATAGGTGATCCATATAAGATGACTTAATAAATTATTCACATAAAAATTTATGGTTATATTATTAACTAGCTTATCAATAAATTGTTGATGCCCAAAATCATAATATATAATAATACCTTTCCCATTTAAATTAATAATAATATTAGTCTAATTGCTAATCTGCTCTAAATTTTTCTTCTTGTTAATCGTTTTGGCTCTGAGCGAACTCAAAAGCACTCAATGAGACTATCTATATAATTCTGACATCTAAATTTTAACTTCTTCATTCATCTTTAATTGTGAATTTTTTTCTGTGTCGGAAATAATTATTATTGCTTAGAGTCAGATACTCTGTGTTTATGTCAGAAAATTGATCAGGTCCTTAAAAAAATCATATTTATAATTTTGTAATTAAATATCGACAAAACATCTCGATTAACAATATAGTTATTTCAGATTATATATATTTTAAGCTAAAGTTATAATTAACTATATTCTATTCTATTTTTAAATGTATAATTATCTAATGAATTAGACCTAATTGTTTTTCTTTGTATACTAATATATGAGATATTATCTATTCTCATGTCCTAAAATTTACCCAAACCATTAGAAAACACACCTCAGGCATTTATTCTAAGTTTTTTTTTTTTTTAATATTTGGTGAAATTAGGAATTAATTTCACTTAAGAATCACGAAAACAGACTAGCTCTGTTGTTGCTCTTATCAATAAAGTTTATTGTAAATAGACATTTTGAAATGGAATTTTTCTCCATTGGACTAAAAAGGTTCATTCCAACAAACAATCTTTGTCCCCACAGGAATTTCTACTTAAAAGTAATAACCAAAAATTACAACTAAATTTCTTGAACTGTCGTTCATCAAACTTAAGCAGAATAACATGAATAAAAAAAAAACATTTACCTAATACAAGAAATCAGTAGTTGGAACTATTATCTAGGTTCCACAGTATTACAAATTTACACATAGGTACATATTATATGAAAGAGAACTCAAACTACCATTCATCAAAATATTCCAGGCCTCAGAAATTGCAGCAATTTTGCCTCAGATTCTGAGTTACGATTATTTTTAATCAAAACTTGCATTTTTTTTCAGGAATTAGAACTTTGAGATTTTTTTAAAAAAAATGTTCCAGGCTTCAGAATGACTTCAAATTTGCAGCAATTATAAATTGAAGTTTCTTTCATAAATGAGCACAAACCGCTTGTCAATATTTGCCTCAAACTCTGAGCTTTAATTATTTTAACCCAAACTTGCATTTTTTGGGAATATGAACTTTGAGAATTTTTCCAAAAATGTTCCAGGCTTCAGAATGACTTCAAATTTGCAGCAATTATAAATTGAAGTTTCTTTCATAATTGAGCACAAACCGCTAGTCAATATTTACCTCAGTTACGATTATTTTTTACCAAAACTTCCATTTTTTTCAGGAATTTGAACTTTGAGAATTTTTTCAAAAATATTCCAGGCCAAGAATGACTTCAAAGCAGAAATTATAAATTGAAGCTTTTTTTATAATTGAGCATAAATTGCTCCACCTTGTACCTGGCCTATTTACCTGATCTTGCTCCATCACCTCTGTTCATAGGCGCAACTAGGGGGGTGCTTGAGGGTGCTAAGCACCCCTAAAGCAAAAATTAGCACTCCCATTCGGCATCCCACTATAGCACTACCTACAGTGGCACTACCTAAAACTACCATAAAAAATTTGTGCAACCAAATTATTATTTTTTTTGCAGTTTTTGTACTCACTTACGTCATCGATGACGTCATAATTTAGAAAAAAGTATTTGTCGTTGATTAAGACATAGAGCACGTTCGCGATTATTATTGTTATGCTATATTGTTATGGAATAAATTTTTTCAACCAGGGCCGGTTTTACAATATGTATTACCTTAAAATCAAGAGTTACCCTAAAATATAGGGTTTTTATGTTATATTTAAGATGACGATGACGTCATTCGATGACGACTAAAGTCAGACAATGTTGTCAGTCTATGTTTATTCTATATCTTAAGGTAACATTGAAATACCGGCCCTTAAAAAATCATTGGAGTCCCAAATATATAAATTAATTAACTGCGTATTATACAAGGTGTTCCTAAATATCATATACAAACGGCAAAGGGTGATTCTTTGTTTTTTTTTTATGACTTAAATCTCAAATACCTATGTTCTAAAAAATTGACTTATTATTTAAAAAAATTCACCTTCTTACATTTTAATTTTTTTCTGGAAAACTTGCAAAGGGAAAATTTTGAAAATTTTCCGGGAAATTTCAAAATTTTCCAGTAAAAATTTTGAAAAACCAACTTTTTTAAGCAAAATTAGGGAGAATTCACCCTCTTACATTTTAATTTTTTTCTAGAAATCTGGCTAAGGGAAAATTGTGAAATTTTTCCAGAAGAAAGAGAAAAGTGAGGACCTCATTATAGGAAAATTTCAAAGCTTTCCAGTGGAAAATCACTCCAAGAAAAATTCTGGGAGATTGACTTTTTTAGGCAAAATTCACCCTCTTACATTTTAATTTTTTTCTGGGAAACTGGCAAAAGGAAAATTGTGAAAATTTTCCTGAAAAAAGAGGAAAGTAAAGAGCTCATTATAGCAAACATGAAAAAAATTTTAATAAAAAATCATTCCATAAAAAAATCTGGAAAATTGACTTATTTAAGCGAAATTAAGGAAAATTCACCCTCTTACATTTTAATTTTTTTCTGGAAAACTGGTAGAGGGAAAACTTTGAAAATTTTCCAGAAAAAAGAGGAAAGTGAGGAGTTCATTATACGGAAAATTACGAAATTTTTCAGTGATAAATCACTCCAGGGAAAATCCTGGAAAATTGACTTTTTCAAGTAAAATTAAGGAAAATTTATCCTCTCACATTTCAATTTTTTTTCTGGAAAACTGGCAAAAGAGAAAAAAGAGGAAAGTCAGGAGCTCATTATAAGAAAATTTGAAAATTTCCCAATAGAAAATCGCTCTAGGAAAAATTCTGAAAAAATGACTTTTTCAAGTAAAATTAAGAAAAACTTATCCTCTCACATTTCAATTTATTTTTGGAAAACTAATAAAGCAAAACTTGTGAAATTTTTCCAGGAGAAAGAAGAAAATGAGGAGGAAAATTTCAAAATTTTCTAGTGAAAAATCACTCCAAGGAAAGTCGAGAGGAAAGTTCTGGAACATTGATTTCTTTAAGCAAAATTCATCCTTTCACATTTCAATTTTTTTCTGGAAAACTGGCAAAACAAAAATTGTGGAATTTTTCCAAAAGAAAAAAAAAAGTGAGGAGCTCATTATAGGAAAATTTCAAAATTTTCCAGTGAAAAATCACTCCATGAAAAATTCTGAAAAATTGACTTTTTCAAGTAAAATTAAGAAGGAAAGTTCACCCTGTTACATTTTAATTTTTTTCTGGAAAACTGGCAAAGGGAAAATTTTCCAGGAATAAGAGGAAAATAAGGAGCTCATTTTACGTAAATTTCAAAATTTTCCAGTGAAAAATCACTCCAGGAAAAATTTTGAAAAACTATAGTATATTGTGTATTTAGGTGGAAAAGTGACACATTCTCGGCCGACGGTGTAAGTTGACAGGCGAGGCGTAGCCGAGGCCGGCAAACACCGAAGGCCGAGAATGTGCTTTTCTAATTTTTTTATGCAAAATTAAGGAGAATTCATTCTCTTACATTTTAATTTTTTTCTAGAAATCTGGCAAAGGAAAAATTGTGGAATTTTTCCAGAAGAAAGAGAAAAGCGAGGAGCTCATTAAAGGAAAATTTCAAAATTTTCCAGTGGAAAATCACTCCAGGAAATATTCTGGGAAATTGACTTTGTTAGGCAAAATTCACCTCTTACATTTTAATTTTTCAGAAATTCATTTATATATTTTCGGATAACTGAATAATCTCTATTCTAAGTTAAAAAATGTATTACAAAACAATAATTCCGAAGGTGATCTATGGATTAATCTATGATTTAACTTTTTCTCTAAGTTATGACGTCATCGATGACGTAAGTAAAAACCTTCGTGGCCGTGCAACGTACTATATGTTCGTTTGAAATTTCAGACATAAAAAAACCTATTTTTCAGAAAAAAAGGCAAATGATGACGTAAGTACAAACCCTCGTGAAACTAACTTTTTTTTACGCGTCTCATTTCCTTTCCATCAAACCCCATTTTGGAGCCTAGTTGCGCTTATGCCTCTGACTATTATTTATTCACAATCCGATGTCCTAAGGTAAAGGTAAAATTTATCACCTTTCAGTGCTATTTGATAGGGAAAGGTGATAAATTTACCTTTACATCTGGACTACGGATTGTGAATAGGATATAGGTGGTTTCCAACTCCCAAACCATGAAATTCCTTCTGATATTAAATGACTTTTATGATGATTATAATGATTTTGAAGCAGACATAAACAATGAGATACAATATTGCCTTCATCTTAATATATATTTTTGTATATCGACAAAATAATGAATTCTGAATTGCATTGTTGCTCTGTTGGAACGAATCTTTGGTTACTAGCAATTCTCTACGTTTATTTTTCGGTAATAAACTAAATTTGCCTATTTTATACCGAATAAAATAATTATCTTAAGTGAAATTAATTAAATGGTTCCTAGCACTATTGAAAACCCTTCGGGAAGGGAAGTTAGGGGGACAGATAGTCCGGCGGCAGGGCGGAGGTTCCACGTCCGCGCCCTCTACCTCTGCCCCTGCCCCTACCTCGACCCCTCCCGCGTCCTCGTCACCTGCGTCCATCCGTCATTCCTCCAACGTAGTCTTTTCGCAAAATTCAAACGTTAAAAAAATACATGAAAAATATCAAATACTTACCTATATTACTAGTGGTCTTTTCCAAGTAAGCTAGAGGACCCTGAAGCATTCCTCCAGGGCCCCCTTGCGGAAAAGGGCCACTCCTACTGCTGCCCATTCCTTGATGCATGAACATAGCTTGGTGGGGCGATAACATACCGGGACCGACACTGGCTCCGCTCAAACCAGGAGGGACCTTAACAAATATAACAATTAATTAATAATTAAATATAAATAATATATTTTTTTTTTTGTAATAACATGGTGTTAAATATGTGATTATTTATATGGCAATTTGTATATTTGTTAACCAACCCTCCTGGTTTTTTTTATGAATAAATAACGAAAACTATGAAATTATTTTCCGAAAAACAATTTATTGAAATCTACATTAGTACACTTTTCTTTTAATTAATAGAAAAAAATTTAATTCCTAAATCATAAGATTTGCAAACGAAAAAGGTATTATGATATCGAATTAATTATGTAGGTTTTTATTTTTAAACGGAAAGAACTTTTGAGTAAAGGCACACTTGAGCAATGTATACTACCCGATCACTATAATAATAATAATGGTGATTTATTGAGCTACATTGTATTATTTTTATTTTTAAATTGAAAAAAAAAAAAAACCTTGAAAGTTAGTATACAAATATACATTTTAATGTGGATTGACAAATTAAAATAGGGGCCCAAATGAAGAACATTTCCGTTTATTAGCTAAAATATTTCTCAAGCATTTGAACCTAGTCAACAGCAATATGCAATTTAAAAAAAATATATATACCTTTATAAATACTTTACGGAGAGCCTAAATCTAAGCATTATCGTATACTGGGCAAGATTGTGTTTGAAAGACAAAAATATTATTTCAAAACAAATATCCGCATTCTTAAAAAAATATTATGTTTTTATATACAATATAGAACAAATTAGTCTTCCCGTTGCAATACGGACAAAGGGGATAAAAACATCATTATCATCACTATGATGTAAATAGTACAAAAATTAAACTCTACTCCTTAATTATTAATTTATTATATCGCTAACGTCTTTATTTTTAAATATATTATATGGCACACATAGATTTTTTTAATATCACTAAATGACTTGTAAAGCTTTCTATAAGAGTTTTCGATTTTTTTTTTAATAGGATATATTGTGGATTAAATTTTAAAATAAATTAGAAAGGAAATCGTAATAAAGTGCCTAAAGTTTATACACTAGGAACTTTGAACCAGTTCCTTTTAAAAATAAAAAGTAGTAAAATAGCTACACACAAATTTGAACCATAAAATATGATACCTAATAAGCTGTCTGAAATCAAATTAATCTCATTATTTTAGGGTCTTGTGCCGTCGGCTTGACCCTCGTAAGAAGTGTTTGGTCTCTGACGACAGCCTAGTTTCAATAGCATACTGTGAATGATATACGTTTATATTTGTGGGAAGTTTACTGGTTACATGCTATGGCTGGGCGCTGTACTAGAGGACATAGATAAAGAAGATTTGAGATTTGAATGAATTATCAGAGGGGTGATCTCACAAGGGTCAAGCCTAGGCAAGACCCAAAAAAATATTCGTTTTTTTACCCTTCAGAGGAAAAACGTTTCTATTATTGTACTAGAACAAAATTAAATTAAGTTAAAAATTGACTTTTGTTCTAGCAAATAAAAATCCCCAATTCACCGTCTATCTACCTGCATCTGTTGCATTTGTTGCATCTGCTGCATTTGTTGTTGCTGCAACTGCAATTGTTGGTGTTGCTGTTGCAATTGTTGTTGCTGTAATTGTTGCATCGAAGTAGGCATGCTGGATAACAATTGGTTAGGGGTTTGAGTGCCCGGAAGACTGGATATCGGCGACGGCGGTATCGAACTACTGCCAGCGGCTCCACTAGAACCGGCTCCGGACGGTGTGGAGCTGCCAGCTTGCGCCGGGCTTTTAGCGTAAGTGTGCAAGTCTGCTAATAAGTTTTGCCAAATGGCGATTTTATCGTAATGCCTTTTGATCAGTTCTTCTTTTCTGACTAGTTCTAGACGTAATTCGTTTATGTCTTCTTTTACGTTCATTTCGGGCTTGAGCGCCGAGAGGAGGAATCTTTTTTGGAGGAAAAAAGCTTCCATTTGTCTAGCTAAATCGATGAATCTGTGCATTGTGTGTTCTACTTCTACTTTGATTTCGTCTTTGTCTGTTGTGGGGACTGCTTCTTCTTTTGTTAGGACATTCAAGCACGTCTGGAACAAACGGAAAAAATTTATAGAATTAGGCCCATTGAATCTTGAGCAAAAAAAAAGTGTTTATTTCAAATTTGGGCAACAGCATACAGTGTTTTGCTATTATTTTGGTTCTTGAGGACTGAATATATTCAGGATAATATTTATCATACTTGAATAAACATTTATAATGTAAGTGTTAAGAATTTTCACGATTCCCTAGAATACAATTGCCATTACAATTGCACAATAACATTTATAAAAAAATTAGGTGGCTAGTCATACAAAAATTAGCATTATTCTGAAAGAAAAGCAAAAATATGAATAAAATAAGTAATGCTCGAGTTCCCAAACAACTAACAAGGCTGATTATCTTTTCCCTTTCAATCTATTTCTGTTCTGCTGGGTCGAGGTTTGCCCTGCTCTCCGCAATATCAAATGAGAAAAGTTATGAGTTTTTTCCCCAATTAAGATCTCAATGTTAAGAAATGTCTATCTTATGTTATCAAGAATAATATGGAAAATACTATGAAAAATGACTCGAGCTCTTTTTGGAGTTTTGTTAATAGCAGAAGTAGAAATTATGATCTGCCAGGTTGTATGATCTATAACGGACAGTCTAGCGAGAGCGAGAACACATTGCAAATTTTTTTGCTGATTCTTTTTCTAGTGTATATAATGAGAATACTGGTAGTGATATGGATTCAAGAATACTCATAATGTCTCTTTGGGTACTAGAAGTATTAGAGAAATGGAAGTTTTCAATTCAATCTCAAATTTAAGTGATAACTCAAGTATGGAACAGATAATGTCTCTGTTCTATTTTTGAAGAGTTGTCAGTAAATTTTACTCCATGTTCTATGTTTAATTTTTAATAGGTCATTATTCTTGGGTAAATTTCCGGCATTTTGGAAAGTAACATACATTACACCTTTATTTAAGAATGGGGCAAGATCTGACATTGTAAACTATAGGTAGACCTATTTCTAAATTCTCTTTAAATAGTTTCAAAGATTTTCGAATTGATTGTAAATGAAAAATTAACTCATCATTTGAATGGAATGATCATGGAAAGTCAACATGGTTTTATAAAAAATAGATCTACAGTCCAATTTAGTAGTTTATGAGGAGTTTTTGGTTAAGTTTTTAGAATCATTTCAGCAGGTTGATGCAGTTTATACCGAATTTAGAAAGGCATTTGATACTGTCATTCATGGCAACTTAATCAATAAACTTAGAGCTGCAGGTATTTTTGGAAGCATGTTGAACCGGGTAGGGGATTATCTTTGTAGTAGACATCAGATTGTTAAACTGAAAAATGTTTGCTCCAGGTAAATTTTAGTTACATCTGGTGTTCTACAGGAAAGCCATTTGTCTCCATTACTATTCAATATTTTTCTTAATGATATACGGGAATATATTAAATACTCAGAGTCTCTTTCTTACGCGGATGACTTGAAATTTTTCAAAAATATTACATCGGAAGAAGATTGTCAAAAGATTCAAAAAGGTATAGATGGGTTGGTATTGTGGTGTCAAATAAATGGCATGCAGCTTAACATTACCAAATGTAAAATAATATCATTTTCTAGGAAGAAAAATTTGATAAATTTTGAACCTCGTTTTGAACTTACTAAAACGTTGAAATTTCATTTTTTTTTTTGTTAAGATTTTGTGTCCTAATGGTCCCTCGTGATGCCCTGAACTCCATAAACTAAATTATTCCGAGATTTGGAGCCGAAATCTATGAAAAAAGGCACTCAGAAAAATTGAAAAATTGATAAATGACCCCAAATTGCTTAACACGATTTTATCTCAAGAACTATAGGTGCAAATGAGCTAAAATTTTCAGGGATTGTAGTCCCTTTATTGAGATAAATTTCAGTGAAAATTTCAGCTTTCTATCTATACTTAATAGAAAAAAAGTTATGCCCTTCCAAAGTTTTCCAAAATCTAAATCATAAGGTACCTTCTTACTAAAACGATGAAGTTTGAAAATTTTTTTTGTTGAGATTTTATGTCCTAATGGTCTCTCGTGATACCCTGAACTCCATAAACTAAATTATTCCGAGATTTGGAGCCGAAATCTATGAAAAAAGGCACTCAGAAAAATTGAAAAATTGATAAATCACCCCAAATTGCTTATCTAGATTTTATCTCAGGAACTATAAGTGCAAATGAGCTGAAATTTTACTTGGATTTAATTTATATTGTTACCTCGATTGTTATATTATATTTGTAAAATAGCTGGTTTGGCTGCTAACTTTCAGCTGCCAAGTATACAGTTTACATCAGTTCAAACATTAATATTTTGATGTCTCTTAAGCTGGAAGAGCAAAGTCAGCAGAATCAAAAATCAACATAGGAACATTAAATGCTCATTAAAATCTAATTAAATGCCCTAATGAGAAATTTTAGGCTCCGTGAATTTTCGTGAAAATTACTGTTCTGCTAGCTTTAACTTAAGCCAGCAGAAAAAGTGGCTAAAACAATGAGAATTGCAATTCCACTTGCACAGACATTACAGGCTCCCGAAATGCACTAATTTCAAATTTCAGGCTCAATTACTTTTTTTGTGAAATAGCGAAAAGTCGTGATGCGTGGGTGATGTCGGCCGAGAAGGCGAAAAAACCTCCCAGACGGTGGAAATCGATGTTCCGATAATGCAGTCGTTGTAGGTTTAACTTGCCAGCAGACCATGAGTGAAAAAGTAGCTAAAAGAACGGAAATTACAATTCCACTTGCACAAACATTACAGGCTACAGGCTCGTTAAAGGCTCCGGAAACACACCAATCGCGAAATTCAGGCTCAAATACTTTTCTAGTGAAAATGCGCAAAGTCGCGATGTGTGGGTGATGTCGGCCAAGCATGGCGGAAAAACCTCTGACGGTGAAAATCAGTGTTTCGATAGCGCATTCGTTGTGAATACATTAAAGGCTAATTGAATACTGTAATGAGAAATTTTAAACTCCGCGAATTTTCGCGAAAATGGCTGTTCTGCTAGCTTTAATTTAACCAGCAGAACATGAGCGAAAAAGTGGTTAAAAGAACCAAAATTGCTATTCCATTTGCACAGACATTAAATGCTCATTAAAGGCTCCGCGAATTTCAGGCACAACTACTTTTTTTTGTGAAAATGCGAAAAGTCGCAACGCCTGAATGTGGTCGGGCAAGCATGGCGTGAAAACATCTTGGACAATGAACTTAGTGACTTACCGAAGGCTAATTAGATGCTGTAATGAGTAAGTTTCGGTTAGTTTTTAATTTTAATCAGACATTTCCAAACTTACCGATAATAACCCGGGTACTTTTCCAAACTTACTGAATCAAAAAAGTAATTGAGCCTGAAATTTGCGATTGGTGTACTTACGGAGCCTTTAATTTGTCTGCAAGTGCAATTGCAATTTTTGTTGTTTTAGTCAAATTTTCGGTCATGTTCTTCTGGTTTAAGTTAAAGCTAGCAGAACAGCCATTTTCGCGAAAATTGGCGGAGCCTTAAATTTTTCCTTAGGGCATTTATTTAGCCTTTAATGTTCCATGTATTAGATTAGATTAGATTAGATAGTGTGCTTTATTGTCATAAAAACATTACAATTTGTTTTGTGGACAAAGCAAAACTTAACAACTAACAAAACTATTTAAAAACCGTCAGAAACAGTAAGAAAATTTAACAGCTCTAATATTTAGCTAAAGCACAGTATATTAAAAAAAATAGACTGTGCTTTGCTGACAGTTACAATTAACGGTAAGAATAACCATCTGATCAAATAAAATTACAGATTAATATTAACGATAAATTAGTTTTAAATAAGACAAAAAAAAAGACACCATAGTTTACACAAACTTTAAAAGTCGAGATTAAATCTAAATCTAAATTAATCTTTGGTAAATGTACAAATTAATATAATAAAAAATATATGGGTACCTAACTTATTGAGTATTTCCTTGCATAAAACTATAAGCTCCACGACTGAATAAGTTACTTATTAAATAGAAAGACACTACAATTACATAAAGTTTAAAACTCAGGTTTAAATAAGTACAAATACCGAACAAAATAATAAAATTAAAAAAGAAACCCATTCTATCACAGTTATTCAAAACATACAAAGTCAGAAACATGCTAATCATTGCCTTAAATCTGTCTTGATAATACTCGTTCAAATCATAATAGGCTCTATCAGAAAGTAGGTCCCGTAGTCCTTTTCTAAATAATCTCATTGTTGGTGATATTTTAATTGCTTGTGGTAGATGGTTGAACACCTTTATACCATTATAATGTATTGATTTATGAACAAGCGAAGATTTCGGAATAGGAAGCTGTAGGTTAATTTGCTGGGTAGATCTTGTACTATAGCAATAGCTAGTAGAAGGCCAGACAAAGTCATTGCGATGAGTATAAATGAGACTTGCTGTTTCTAGAATATACAAACAAGTGATGGTTAAGATTTTCTTGGCTTTAAACAGAGGTTTGCATGAATCTCTGTAGTTAGCATTACAAAGATATCTCAACGCTCTCTTCTGTAAGATAAACAACATACCAATTAGCTGATCAGTTGTTGAGCCCCAAAAAGCAATGCCATACCGAAGGTGTGACTCAGTTAGTGCATGGTAAACTGATTTTCCGAAGTTAAACCCTAGCTCCCGGACTGTTGTCTTCACAGCATAGCAGCCAGAAGCTATTTTCTTACTGAGAGAGCAAATATATTCATCGAACTTTAAATTGGAATCGATTGTTAAACCCAAAAATTTGCTATACTCCCGCCTTGCTATTAAACCATCTCCAACCCCAATATCATCTATATGACATTTAAAAGAAACCAGGTTAGTTTTACCATAGTTAAACGTCAAGAAACTAGCATCACACCACCTCTTTACCAATTCCAAGTCCCCTGAAATGGCAGCCTTAAGAGTAGCAACGTCACTACAGCTCCACGATATGGTAGTATCGTCAGCAAAAATGGTAAACTTTCCATTAATTGGAAGCATAGCCAAGTCATTGAAGTAAAGCAGAAATAGAACAGGGCCAAGCACTGAACCCTGCAGCACGCCCCACTCAACATGGCCCGGTCTGGATGCATCCGATCCCATTAGAACTTGCTGGGTCCTTTCACTCAAATAAGATTCGAACCATTTTAAAACGACACCCCGGAATTCATAATGGTAAAGTTTTTTAAGCAGAATGGAATGATTTACGCAATCAAATGCTTTTGCTAGGTCGCAAAATACAGCCGCGGCTACATTTGATGGACGAAAATAACCGAGTGAGCAAATGGAACATAGCATTGTTTGTGCCAGTGTTGGCTTGAAATCCAAATTGGGTCTTGCTTAGAATTTTGTTACGCTCCAGAAATGACATGACACGAGTCTTAGTTAACTTTTCAATCAACTTAGATAGAGTGGACAGTAGTGAAATCGGCCTAAAATTTGCTGGGTTGGACTCGTCCCCCCCCCTTATGCAAGGGAATCACCATTGCGGACTTTAGGCTTGTAGGAAATATACCACTTGTCCACGAGATATTTATAGAGCAAGTATGCCAGACAGAATCATATCAGGCATGCTAAGCAAGATGTTCGCGGACAGCCCATCCTCACCGGAGGTATTCTTCTTCTTAATACTTTTTAAGGTTTGTTTTACTTCATGCAAGTTAGTTGGAGTAAATGAAAATGAATCAACCACTCATGTTCCAGTCATATAGGACATTGAATCTTCACTGGGTTTGATATTTTTTGTTAAATTTCTTGCAATACTGCAATAATACTGATTTAAATGATCGGGAGTAACCTCAGGGGACGATGACGGTTTTGAAGAGTTGTTGGAGCGAATATTATTTATGATCTGCCAACATTCTTTTTGTTTATTTGATGAACAATTAAGACGATCGTGGTAGTATTTCTTTTTAGCAGCGGCAATAAGTTTCCAATAAAGAGACCTATATGAATTAAAGAAGTTGTGAAAAAATAAACTGTCAGTGAATTTCCTAATTTTATGAAGACAATGAAGATTTTTTGAGGAAGTTTTGAGGTCCTTAGTAAACCAAGGCTTTTCTTTTTTCATTTTAAGTTTCCTTAAGGGAAAACATTGTTCAAAAATTTTAATGGTTTTCTGATGAAAAGTGCTTAGGGGTTCCTCTTGTTCTGCCACATCACCCCATGATTCCTCGTTACATTCCTGATAAAACCTATTATATAACTATTCCTATTAAATACTCTACCAAGCCTAACCTTTTCTTCGTACCTTATTTTTGGCTCCAAAATATCACAAATTGCTGAATTTGCTCTTCCAGCTTAAAAGACGTGCTATTTTGATGTTTTGTAACTTTTGCCACGGATACTAAAACCACAGAATGATTATCGAAGGCAATAACATCAATGTTCAATTCTCATTACTACATTTCTGGGACTCTGACGTCACAGTCCTTTTCTTTCCAAAATAGGATTTTTTTTCTTTTTGGAAACAAGTATACAGATGTTATTGGAATGAGAATGACTAACAGAATAATTTAAATAGTATGTTTTTAAAAAATGTGAAACTGGCCTATTGCTGAGCTTACAGGGTGTTTTTCAGCCTTATAAAATCCTACATACCTACTACTAATAATTCTTACCTGGAATGCTTCTTCAAACTCATCCACCAAATTTCCACTGCTATTTGTTGGGGTTGCCATTGCAGTTACAGGCGGGGAGGGTTCCTTAAGAGGATTCATAGAAACTATATACCTGAGGTACTATATTTAGCAGAAAGAGTATTTAGGAAATTCACAATAGTACCATGACTATGACCATAGGAGTGAACAATTAATAATTTTATTGTAAGAGGAGTTTGTAAAAATTAAAAAGTGCTTTATCTCCACATATTGCACTTGCGAATTTGTTGTATAGGATTAATCAATACTGAAAAACACCCCAAACTGGATCAATACTTGGATATTTTAGAGGAAAAAGGGGCCCAACAACAGAAAAGGAAAGGAAAACGACAAAACACAACCCTAAATTTGATCTGTCAAATAAATACCGTTATTAGATTCAGAAGCGTTTTCATTTTTATAAGCTCTGAACTCCTATTCAGATCACTTGGAACAAGTTTTAGATGTTAGGGCAGGAAAATCTCAGGGATCTCTCCTGTTCTCTCACTCTAATGTTAGCCGCAAATATATGTATTGAGTAGATGGGCAAAGGGGTATTCCAATCTTCTTACTACTTCATTGATGTACCGTCACGATTCTACGCAAAGCCAAAAATTTGTGCGTAGAACATAATGTGCATAGAACCCGAAATTCGTATGCAGAGTGGTTTCAAAACCGTTCATGGGACGGATTTTGTGCATGCCTTGAAACGCTTCCGAAAACATTATTCAATTTTTCAATTTCCTGTATTCAATAGTTGTATTCCTTTCAAGAGTTTGAAACACTCGAGCTACTCGCTCCGGTGTTTGGTCGCCCCAGATTTGCAGGGAACAGATGCGTGGTGCAAGAAACACTTTTCGAAAGGAATAAGCGCGTGAAGCCCAGGAACTGTTCCGGAGGTCCTTCTAGGTGTGAAAGGAATACAACTTATATTACTGATAAATGCCGAATTTTACTCAAAGAGTTCTGGAACCGCATTATCGACGCTAAAATAAAACGCTACGCCATCAGCTGGTTGATTGCCGTTCAATTAGGGGTCACGTGACCGTAGGGGTAAATTTTCAATTGAAACTCACGTGACTCGAAAATGTTTTGACAGTGACAGATGCTATTGTTGTTTATCAAATTTATTCCCCTACCCAAAAAGTTTACGTTTTATAAAAATTTGCTTCAACAAAACGGTTTTCATGTGCAAGTGCAATAAACAATAATTTTATTTAAGAAAAAAACCCTATTATAAACAAACCAGTAGTTAAAATTATATCTTGAAGTATATTTGTTGATAAAGTTAAAATTCTATATAGAAAAACAATAAAATGGTGAGTATTTTTAATAATTATTATCAATTTAGGGGGCGTAGGTACAATGATAAAATTGAAATACGTATATTTTTTCAGGCGGAAGATGGTAAAAATGTCCCCCTGACCGATAACAGTTTGGTAGTGGATATTTCCGATGCCCTTAGCGAAAAGGACAAAGTTAAATTCACTGTCCACACCAGGACAACAATGAAAAACTTCCAAAAATCTGAGTTTCTTGTCGTGAGGCAACACGAGGAGTTTATTTGGCTTCACGATTGCTATGAGGAGAAACCTAAATATGCTGGTTACATTGTAAGAACTACAATTATAGTATTTGTAATCTCAGTCAAATTGCTGTGAATATTTCACCCGTTTAGTTTTTGGATCACGAAATGGCATGATTTTCGTTCTTCTACTGTTAATTCCATGGTGATGATAAAATTATAATTAATTCAATTCAGTGGATGTAAGATCTAGTTTTCTTGGTAATAGATAAATGATTGTTTTTGTGTTGTTCACAATTATTTATTGAAAAGATACACAAAACACAGATGAACAAAGGCAAAAAGGTTCTGCTAAACTCTGTTCAACTAACCTACAGAGTAGAAAACAAGATACTCTTCTCAAGAGGTTCATTACTATTGGTCAATTTTCAGCCCTCTTTATACTGTAGAGTGATGTTTTGTAGGATTTTGAAATTACTCTTCAATAGGTTTGTTAGTATTGGTCAATTTCCAGTCCGCTTTACACTGTAGAGTGTTGTTTTGTAAGATTTTGAAATTACTCTTTGGAGAATTTGGCTACCGAGTTGGCTACTAATGGTCAATTTTCCGCTTGCTTTACATTGTAGATTGATGGTTTGATGTTACTTTTTATAGCTTGTTTCATGCTGTGATGAGAATATAAAAAATACTATATTTTGCTCCATCTGGTCCGGGTACTGTATGTAAATGATTATTTGAAAAGCTGCAAACAGAAAGATAAATTGAACTTTTTTTTTTAAATCTGAAAGTATTTCAGAACATCTGCTTTTTATAGTAGGTTTAGTCGAGGGTATAGTATATAAATGACATGGAATCTTAACTAAAAAGATGTTGAATGCCAAATTTTGTTGCTCCATTTTCTTTTCAGGCAAATGATATCCTGATTCGTGATTGTGTAGCAGCTTTAATTTCTGAACTACAAATAATTTTTAACTGGCTAAATATAAATACATTAAAATTAAATATATGTATCAAAAACCAAATGTATGTTTAAAGGAAATTACTCGGGAAATTATGAACATGGAACAGATTTGAACATTTTTATAAATTTAGACCAATATTGGAATTTGTTAAGTAACTCAAATATTTAGGTATTCTATTTGATTTGAGTTAAGATTTAATGAACATTATCATGAGTTAGGTAGTTATATCTAAAATATCTTAGAAAATTAATTATGTATTCAAGTGCCAGTTTATTCATCTTCTGATGAACTGTCAGACATACAATCTGACAGATAGAAACGCAATCTGTAACTGGTCGACCAGTTCCCACACCCACAAGTGATTGTGCACATTTTGCACAAGTGATTTTTGCAGATTTAAATAATTTTTGCATGTATTAAAATGAGAAAAAGCTTCTAAATTTAGTTTGGAGCATCTTCAAATTAACTTTTCTACAAAGAGGAGACTTCAATTCATAGGTCCCAAAAGTTCCAAGTCACTGTGATCATTAGAATTACTTTGCCGAGGGGCAGCTCACTCACCACAATTTGTACATTGATTTCGGAAATCGCAGGGGATATCAACAATTTTTAAGGGATTTCGGATATTCGATTTTCAACGCCGTACCACTAAGGAATTCAAGGATTTCGATAAATCTATTGGGATTCCGAATTTTAGAAGGATTTCTGTTGGGATTTCGTGATTTCCTATAGGATTTCGCTCTTCGCGATTTCAAATGGATTTCAGGATTTCCAAAGAATTTCGACATAATTTCATGAAATTTCGGATGAAAATGTACAGCGTTTTCGGGAGTGAGCTGCATGCATCAATGTAATAAAAGGCTTCCAAATTCAATTTGAAGTTTCAAATCAACTTTAAATTAAGTTTTCCACAAAGAGGAAACTTCAATTCATAAGTCCTGAAAGTTCCAAGTCACTGTTATCATTAGAAGTACTTTGCACAAGTGATTGTTAAAGATTTTAATCATTTTTGCACACATTAATGTAAGAAAAAGCTTTTAAATTTGCTTTGGAGCTTCAAATAAACTTCAAATTAACTTTTCCACAAAGAGGAAACTTCAATTCATAAGTCCTGAAAGTTTCAAGTCACTGTGATCCAAGGAGTAAACCGCCATCCTAGAATTGGTGCAAACAATTCCTCAAAGGGGAATTTTTTACGCATAGTTCCTCAAAATTCCTGCAAATTCCTCCACATACCCTATCACAAATTCCTCCAAATACCCCACCACAAACTTCTCCAAATACCCCACAAATTCCTCTAAAAAAAGGGAAAATTTTGAAACTTTTTGCACGTAAAGAGGAAGCTGAGAAGCTCATTTTCCCAGAATTTCAAATTTTTCCAGTAGAAAATCACAACATGAGGAATCTTAGGAATCAACCTACAATAACTGAATTAATTGAAAATACAGTCTCACATATTTCAAAGTTTTCCTAGAAAACTAGTGAAGGGAAAATTTTAAAACTTTTTGTATGTAAAGAGGAAGGTAAGAAGATCATTTTCCCAAAATTTCAAATTTTTCCAGTGGAAAACAGCAACATGAAAAATTTTGGAAATCAACCTACAAAAACTGAATTAGTTGAAAATATAGTCTCACACATTTCAAAGTTTTCCTAGAAAACTAGTTAAGGGAAAATTTTGAAATTTTTTGCATGTAAAGAAGAAGGTGAGAAGCTCATTTTCCCAAAATTTCAAATTTTTCCAGTGGAAAATAATAACCTCGATAATAACATGAAGAATACTGGAAATCAACCTACAATTACTGAATTAATTGAAAATGCAGTATAACATATTTCAAAGTTTTCCTGGAAAACTAGTCAACAGAAAGTTTTGAAACTTTTTGCATGTAAAGAGGAAGGAAGAAGATCATTTTCCCAAAATTTCAAATTTTTCCAGTGGAAAACAGCAACATGAAAAAATCTTGGAAATCAACCTACACAAACTGAATAAGTTTGAATTTTTAAAATTTGGACCCATAAATTATGTAGTGTAATTTTGGGAGGATTTCTTTAATGAAAAGAATGAATATCCAATGTCCAACACAAAACTAGATTTTTTTTTTTAAATTTCCATTTATTACTATTTCTTATAATAAGAATGTGAACCTCAGTGACGGCATGACCCTACAATTTCCTTTAAATTCCTTACAAATTCTCCCAAATTCCCCATAAATTCCCCCAAATTCCCTATCAATTCCCCAAATTCTCATAAATTCCGATAAGTTCCTTCAAATTCCCCACAAATTCCTCTAAATTTCCCACAAATGCCTCTAAATAATTCCCCACATTTTTGGCAAAAAACTCCTAGGTGGTTTTTGCAGATTTTAATCATTTTTGCATGCATCAATGTAATAGAAAGCTTCCAAATTCAGTTTGAAGTTTCAAATCAACTTTAAATTAGGTTTTCCACAAAAGGGAAACTTCAATTCATAAATCCTGTAAGTTGCAAGTCACTGTGATCATAAGAAGTACTTGGGACAAGTGATTGTTGCAGATTTTAGCATTGTTGCATGCATTAACATAAGAAAAAGCTTCCAAATTTAGTTTGAAGCTTCAAATCAACTTCAAATTGACTTTTAAACAAAGAGGAAACTCCAATTCATAAATCCTGAAAGTTTCAAATCACTGTGATCGTTGGAAATGTACATTCTACTCAGTGGAATTCCAATAAGAGTCCGTAGATTTCCAGTAGGATTTTGTGGAATTCCGTTAAAAGTGGGATTCCTGGTATACAGGGTGCTGCAATTTGGAGTGTTTCTACAGGAAAAACATAAGTACTTCCAGACCAGATAGAGGAAAATTGTCAATCGATTGTCAAAAACCGTATCACGATATCTTCAATGGTACCATTGATACAGGGCGATTTCCGATTTTCCCCTTTTATGAAAAATAGCTATAAGTTTTTCATTTATATTTTTGTTTTTATGTCTGTAAAAACATTTTTGAGCATAATTCAGTGGCGTACTCAGTTTTTTTCTATTTCGCTCCGATTTCGAGGTATCGAGCAAAGTCCGATATTTTTGAATAAAACACCCTATATGTTAATACCTCATTGGATAGCTCTATTTTTGCTGAACACATTATTTCTTATGACTGAAACAGATATAATTTTTTTTTTCTCAAAAACTGTTAGAGATAAACCTATCGAACTTGATATTATTGAAATCAGCAAAAGCAGAGCTATCCAATGAGCTATTAATATATAGGGTGTCCTATTTAAAAAAATCGGACTTTGGTCAATATCTCAAAATGGGAGCGAAATAGAAAAAAAACTGAGTACGCTACTGGATTGTGCTCAAAAAGATGTTCTCACAGAAATTGATAGAAAACGTATAGCTATTTTTCATATTGGGGAAAATTGAAAATCGCCCTGTTTTAATGATACCATTGAAGATATCGCGATACGGTTTGTGACAATCGACGTTTCTCGAAAATCAATCCCATGACATCTAAGTCAATTTTCCTCTATCTGGTCTTGAAGTATGTTTTTCCTGTCAAAACACTCCAAATTGCAGCACCCTGTACATATTTTCAAGGTGGTTTACCCCTCAGTCTCTTTTTATTGTGGAACTATCATATATTCTGTGAATTATTTACCTTTTGATAAACTGTTAGGTAATGCATCACATTTTATCCATGACTGTGAATAATCATATATATTATAATTATCTACCACCAATAGTATATCTACAAAAGTTTCTTACAAAAAATACTCATATTATTGTATACTCACTACTGCATCTTCATTAAAGATACCTCCACCTCCGCCCCGTCCGAATTTCGATGCATCTAGAGAAAAACTCCAACGTTTAGGTGAAGGCGAAGGAACAATGACAAAAGAAGAATTCACAAAAATGAAACAGGAATTAGAAGCGTAAGTTTGAACTGGTTTTGTTATACGCATATCTAAAAAAACCATTTTCTTTAGTGAATACTTGGCAACCTTTAAAAAAACCGTAGCAATGCATGAAGTATTCCTTACTCGCCTAGCTTGTCATTCAATTTTCCGTGAAGATTACCATCTTGGTGTGTTTCTTGAATACGATCAGGATTTGTGCGCCCGTCCCAAAGGAAAACTTCAACAATTCGGCGGTCTTATGAGATCTATAGGCAGCACTACTGATCAGTATTATTTGAACGCCACTGTTAGGGATGTAAACGACTTTTTCGAGCAACAGATGAATTCTCTAACTGAATATCATGCGCAGCTCAAAGAAGGCACCACAAGAGCAGACAAGATGACTGAAAAACATAAAGAACTAGCAGATAGCTATATCAAAATATCTTCAGGCTTATTAGAATTGGCTAATAACGATAATGGACATTTGGATAAGTATTTTGCCAGGGTTTCGGATATTTTCGAGAAGTGCAGAGTAAGTTTTAGGCCTTTTTTTTTTTTTCATATAATAACTTGTTCAATACAGAAAATCGAGAGTAGAGTGGCCAGCGATCAAGACCTCAAATTAGCTGACACTTTACGGTACTACATGCGCGATTCTCAAGCTGCAAAGTCCTTACTCGTCAGAAGGCTGAAATGTCTGGCCAATTACGAGAATGCCAACAGGACTTTGGAGAAGGCAAGGCATAAAAATAAAGATGTCCATGCGGTAAGTGGAAACCAATTAATTTGTATTGACTTAGTTAACTAATGCATTCAAATTCGAACTAATAATTTTTATTTTTTTTTGCTTCTTCAAACAGGCACCCGAAGTTCAAGAGGTATTTATGCTCATTAAATTAACATTTTTAAATGGCCTTTTAGATTTAGAACACTGGCGTGTTGCATGTTGATTGTTCACAACAGAAGCATGTTGAAGAAGAATAGTAGTTGTTGACTATTTATGGCTTTTATTGTGCAATTTGGTTTAGTTTTGTTTTTGTGTTTGTCTTTTTTTGTACCAATTTTATATCTATGTAGAACCAATAATTGTTATAAAAAAAAAACATAAATAAGTCATCCAGCTGGTACTAGCGTCACAATGGCCGATTTTCATGGGTTGATTCCATGAATCTGTGGTGATAGTTCATTGATGGATTGATTCCAGATTTAGCCTCAACTTAGTTAATTCCAAATTACCAATTTTGACATTTTCTCAGGCTGAATTAGCGCAATCAGCGGCGTGCGAACAATTCGAAGCCATTTCTGCTCAAGCTAAAGAAGAACTGTTAGATTTCAAGACTCGACGATTACACGCTTTCCGTAAAAGGTAAGATAATCAATTTGTTAAACATATTTTTTTAATAAATATGTATGTTATTTTGCAGCTTAATTGAGTTGGCGGAATTAGAAATAAAACATGCCCGGGCGCAACAGGATCTGCTGAAAAAGTCCATTCAGAGCCTAAAAGAGCTAATCTAAGTGAGAATGTGATATCAAATCCATTAAAATGTTTTTTTTTTACATATTCTATGTATAATCTATATTGGAAGTAATATTTTTGTTATATTTATATTATAGTTTTTTTAGAATTAAGATTATACATTCCTTAGAGGGTTTTTTTTTATATAGTTTACTGGAATACCTACAATCGAAAGTATGTATACGTAAGTGAATGATTGCAACAGATTTTGTAGATTTTCAGATACAGTAAAATAAATCTCTCTTGGCCTTTGAAATTGTCAAATTCTATCAGTTTAGTACCAGTGACTTTGAGCAAAGTCCAGAAGATTATGCAGTAAGGGGAAATATAAGGCAACTTTTCATGGTCCGTTTAAGGGAGAATCTACTCGAGAGAAGTTTTGTATCAAAGAGTTATATACCTACTGTGAAAATGTGAGAAAGGTCTTCTATGTATTAGGAAGAGCACTATTTTTATCAAAAAAATAATTTGCCTCAAGTTTCATGAATTTTATAAGGATCACAAAATAATAATTAGACATTACATTGAACTGGCAGCTCCTAGCTCAAAAGGCTCCATCCTTGAAATTTTCTTTCAAATATCCTTAACCATAATATGGTTACCAGTCCAAAAACACGTAAAATGCATGAAATTTTGTACACTTTTTGCAAATCTACTTTCTCATCATTATTTGCCTGTAAATTCTATACATTATTGTTTCAAACACATTCAACTAGAAATGTTTAATTTTAAATAGTTTTGGTTCAAAGAACATTACATACATTAAAGTTTAGGAAACGACCTTCATTATTTAGGTCCAAAAAACAAATTGTTGTATTGTACAAGTTTCCCTATTTACATTTAAGTTCATTTACTTCTAAATGCAATGGGAAAACTTGTATATTTAAGATAAATATGTACGATCTATAATGTTGTTTATAAAAAAATAAAAAAAAAAGCGATTTTTTCTAGTATTAATTTAGTTTTATTTAACACCTATTAATATTATTCTCAGCTTATATCTATGACTTCTTTTTTTTCAAAGATGGCTTCTCAAACACTTGCTTAACACCTCCAGCTTGTGTAGAATGAAACTTAGTATTCTGTTGATTTTCATTGGTCCATGGCGAGTCGAATTGTGTCGTGTCTTGATCAACCAAATGGGTATATTTAGTACGTCCAGATCTGCCAAAGTTTTTGACTTGCATAACTTTGGGTAAAATTGTTTTATCAAAGTGATCTTCCAGAGTGGCTTGTGCAAAGTCCCTTTTGAAAACGTCTTCCTCTCGGTCCAAATAGAAAGCACCACGATGATAGTACTTTTGTAAAAACTTGTATTTGCCTTTGGCAGCTTTGTTGGTGACTGTTTTTGGGTTTAGTCTCAGTGCCAGGCGACGTTCTTCTTCAGTCATTGTACGTAATTTTTCAATTTCCATCTTTTCTCTTTCGATGGCTTCTCTTTCTTCTCGGTCACGTTTTATCCTTTTCAATTCTCTGAGTTTCCAGGCTTCATATTCAACTTCATCATTTTCATCATCAGTGCAAACATCATTCAAGTTTGGTTCGTTTGTATCTTTGTCTTTTTCTTCTTTTTTGTTTCTTATCAAATCTTCAACTATACGTAATGTTTGTCGCCTCCTTTCTTCAGCTTTTCTTATCTCTTCTTCTTCAAGCCTTTTTTGTTTTATAGTTTCCTTTTCCTTCTCAATTATAGTGACTCGATCCTTCTTCCTTACAAACACAGGTTTCAATCTAGGACCAGTTTCTTCTTCAGAATCCGTATATTCTTCAGATTCCTCTTCTTCAGATGAACTAAGTTCCTCTTCTTTTTTGATTAGTTCTTCTTGATGATGGACCTTTGATATTTTGTTTTTCAATGCATCTCTCCTCCTTTCAATTTCGCCGTCGCTGAGCTCCTCTTCTGAAGCTTCATCGTCTGGATTAGCTTCTAAAGTATGCTTTTGATCAGCTGCAATGCTTTGTTCGTATTCCTCATCATCTTCATCAGATGAAGACTCCAAAACTTCAGCTTCAAACACATGCCTACGTCTTTCTGGGCGTACTTCAGTGTTCAGCTCGACATTTCTCAATCGCTTCAATCTAGGATCTACAACAACGATTATATTTTTTGTGTTAGTTGATCTAGGTCGGGTAACTTACCATTTAATTCATCGTCGCTGTTCAGGACGGGTTCCGGTGTAGGCTCTCTAAATAAATGCTGTTTCCTTTCCAGAAAGTCATCTTCGTCGCTGTCGCTTTCAGATGGTAAATCTTGAGCGTAGTCTGGCCTTTTTCCCGACACATATCTGTGCACTTTCACTTTTTGCATAGACAGTTCGCCCTTTTCATTTCTCACCGGGACTGCACCCGCGGTACTCTGAATACCGTAATTTAGAGGCGGATTTAACGCCATAATGAATTATAGAATTATTAATATATTGATTAAAAATTACTTTTTTATCAACCACAGAAAAAATAAACAAATACTCAAATACTTTGTCGAATTGACACTCTTGACGTTGACTTGACAGTAGCAAACAGAGGATGGGTGGCGCATGTTCCGTTTTCCACGACAAAATTGGGAATCTATCGAATTCGTTCTGAACAAATTTCCTTAAATTGATCTGTTGAATCTCTATTTTTACTCATTTATTTTCAAAAATGGGCGATTTTTTTTTAAGTAGGAACATACAGGGTGTTTAAAATACCAAGGGCCACGATTGGTAGGTAGGTATATCGGGAAAGGTAGGATTTTTTTACAAATCACCCTCTATCTCGGAAACTAATAGAAATTTGGCAACATTTGTGAGCATTTTATAGATCTAGGGGTAAAAATGGGAGCATTGGCAAGATGTGAGCATTTTGTGGGCATTTTTGGTATTTATTGACCGAAAAAATTAAATTAAATTCGTCCCAGCACGAGTCCACGAGAGCCATGTCATAACTCATAACTCGTGGCATAGCAAATTGGCAAAGACGAAGCGCCCAACTTTTTAGAAAAGAATTATGTATTTCACGTCACGTGTCAAGATTGTCAAGACTAGTCAAGAGGCCATTTTAGAAACGCAGATTCCATCCAAGGATGACACTCACTGCTACTACAGGATGGCCTATTCCACACGTCTGTTTGTTTAAACAGCTGACGACTTAAGCCCGGGACACATTTATCATGCATTCTTCCGATCCGACTCCGATCATACAATCAGGGCAGGGTCCTTATTATTGGAACAGGGAGCAGTGTTCCCAGGCGTTCTCCTGGGAACGCTGCTCCTCTGTTCCAAGAATAAGGACCTTGATTGGATGATCGGAGTCGGATCGGAAAAATGCATGATAGATGTGTCCCGGCCTTTAGTTATGACGTTGGAAATCTTATCACACCAATATGGCGGCGATTACCAAAAACGAGGCTGATAAGCACCCCTTATGCTCCATTCACACTTGCGCGAAATTCGCTTTTTTTGATATTGCATCGACCAATGAACTATAGCCAAAAACTGGAATGCGCGCACATTGCCATATCTGCCCAAAAAATGAAGCCATGAAAGACAGATGCCACAAGGGGGAATGTTGTTTTTCTCTGTTGCTCGCTGACATATGACGTTTTCGAAAGATTTGTCATATTTTCCTTCACAGGTTTCATCAATTGGAATACGTGTTGGAAGCAATTTTCGCCATTTAACATAATGAGTGCGACAAAAACAGGTATCCCCTCCGCAGCAGCCGCACTAGGCTTCAAGTTCGTCCTTATGTGTTAGCATTCCAGTTTTTGGTTATAGTTCATTGGCATCGACAAACTGACGTTTGATACACGCATAAAACGTCAAATTGTCGAAGATATCCCCTCGTTTTTATTCTAATCGGTGACTTCACCGATGAATTAGCTATCTTCGTTTAGTGAATGGAAAATGACAATGACCGACATAGAATACAGTGACTCTATAACCCACGGTGGCGACAATTGCTGTCTAATTTTTGATTGGTTCTAAAATCCCATATATTTATATTGAAAACACCGCCATCTTGTTCCCAACCCCTTGTTACTTTTAAATATGAATATATGGGATTTAGGTGAACATTCATCATAAATCATGGAAAACAACGTATTTGATGGACCTAATAATGGTCATCAAATACGTCGATTTCAATTTTTTATGATAGATGTCCATTTAAATCCTATATATTAATATTTAAAAGTAACAAGAGGTTGGGAACAAGATGGCGGCGAAACCTCTATTGTCGCCACTGTATGTAAAGGTTTATTTAGCCACTGTAACATAGAATGGTGAATTTATCGGTAAAAGTCAGGATGAGGCATTAGAGTGTGTATTCTCCTTGGATTGCAACAGCCAATCACCAGCTGTTTGTTATTTATCTTTATCCAATGAACACGATTGAAAAAAGACAATGTACATCAGCCAGGTGATCCCGTAGTCAGATGACAAATGTCATACCTACTAAATACAGGGAAAACTCGAAAACTATTGACATTTTGACATTGACGTTATTTTTAGTACATGTGAGCATAATGTGAGCGTTTTCACTACAAATGAGGAGCATTTTGATAACTTCTTGTTGGCAACACTGCCTACCAATGCGCGGTAGCCCATGGTATCTTAGACACCCCGTAAATTTTATAATGGCTGAGTACGGCTTTACACTCTGTAAACTACTGTAATTTTTTCTAAAACTTTGACACCCTGTATCTCACAAACTACGCATTTCCGGACACATGTTTATGGGAACTTTTTTTCCTAAAATATCGTAAGGAATCACATCCTGAACTTACGAACCGTACTTAGGAAACACCCTATATATTTTTCTATTTTTTGACCAACCTGTACAGGGTGTTTCAGATTCAAGCCACATCATTGGGATCTCGGAAACGGTAAGATATACAGGGTTGGTTAAATGGGGGCAAAGTTGCGTAATTTGATGCTTAATAAAATGCCGCTTTGATATTTAGAATATTCCGAATACTTTCGGAGATATCCGGAAAAAACCGAAATTTTGCAAAATTATTTTTATTTTTTCCTGACTTTATTTGGAGTGATATTCCAAAATAAATGTCACTTCATCATTGCTACTTTTTCTCCCCTACAAGATGCTACCATCAAATTTGAAATCTGACGTTTCGTCTTTGAGCCACCATCATCAACTTCATTTTTTCAAATAGGGACCCTTATTTTTTATTTTAGATTCCACAAGCTTCTGATGTCCCAAAACTAATGACGTATTGCACTTCTTCAAAAAAGGACCCCGCACATTTCTTATGGAGAAGTGATCTATGTGGAATTTTGCTGAATTTTTGATATTGTGTATAGGGAGTCGTCCCTAACAAAAGTGATCATTGCGCTAATGTTCAATACCCAACAGTTTTCAAGATATCAATTAAAAACTTTTTTAATAATACTCTTCAGTATGACGTCACTCACAGCAACGAAAATTATTACTATCCTTCCACTTTTGACTTTGACTTTACTCTTCTCCTTTTAACATTAAGAAAAAAAAAAGATAGCGATAGCGATTAGTGACAAATAGGTAGGTATGTAAACAACACCTAGCTCCTGCCGCAATCGTCAACTTCATGTCATGATGTCTGTCATATACCGATATCATTTGTACCTGTTGTTGTTTTTTTATTTCCTAAATGTTAAAAGGAGAAGAGTATAAGTATAGGTAGTCAAAGTCAAAAGTGAAAAGGATAGTTCTAATTTTCGGTGCTGTGAGCATACTGGTGACGTCATACTGAAGAGTATGAAATTAAAAAAGTTTTTAATTGATATCTTGAAAACTGTTGGGTATTGAACATTAGCGCAGTGATCACTTTTGTTAAGGACGACTCCCTATACACAATATCAAAAATTCAGCAAAATTCCACACAGATCACTTTTCCATAAGAAATGTGCGGGGTCCTTTATATTATTGGTACTTTCCATAAGAACCAAATGTGTTAGAGAGAGACAGAGAAGAGAATTTTGGTAGGAATAAATTACTAAAAAATGGAAAAAATATTTTTTCGAATAAATGCGATACGTCAACGGTTTTGGGACATCAGAAGCACTAAAAATCTGAAATAAAAAATCCAGGGTCTTATTTAAAAAAATAAAGTTGATGATGGTGGTCCAAAGACGAAACGTCAGATTATAAATTTGATGGTAGCATCTTGTAAGGAAGAAAGAGTAGCTACAATGATGTGATATTTTTTTTTGGAATATCACTTCAAATAAAGTCAGGAAAAAATAAAAACAATTTTGCAAAATTTCGATTTTTTCCGGATATCTCCGGAAGTATTCGGAATATCCTAAATATCAAAGCGGCATTTTGTTAAGCATCAAATTACGCAACTTTGCCCCCATTTAACCAACCCTGTATATCTTACCGTTTCCGAGATCCCAATGATGTGGCTCGAATTTGAAACACCCTGTATCTACATGCTATTTCAAGTTTTAATACTTCCATATTATTTTTTCAAGAAGCAGAAACTTTTATTAGAATATTTTTTTTTCCGTGAAATTTATAATAAAAAAGTTTCCCATATGCTGCGAACTTGGAGTGGACACACAGCCGCTTTCCAGCTGTGTGCTTCAAGCATGGTGCAGTAGAGTGTTCTGTGTTTGAAACGCAAAGTTAGCAGCTCTCGAAGCGCAGTACGGCTGGAACACGAACACGCGCTTGAAGCATTTGCGCGCGCAAAAGCCCGATTGCGTGCTCAAAAGCGTCAGCTGGAAAGCGGCTACTGAGCTAACTATATATATATATGGGACAAGTGGACGCCGATCTGCTGCTCAGATCTGCTTCAAGCAAGAAAAGCAGTACAAATGAACACCCTAGTAGTATTTTTATCTAAGGGCCGGTATTACGCAACATCTTTTTTCCGCAAACGTCAAAAAATGACGATTTTGTAGTCACCTCAATTCTCAATGTTGAAGTTTGACTTCACAGACGTCATTTTTTTGACCGTCCGTTCCGGGAGCGTACAAAAAAGTACTTTTTTGTACGCTCACGGCCGGACAAAAAAGTGACGTCACAGAAATTTCGTAAATTCCATCGCTTGAACACCGTTTGCGGAAAAAATCGCATGTCTTATTCGGAGAAAAGCATTTTTTGTGGCTCGTCTGAAACTGTCGGCCTCACTAAGTTCGAGTCTCGCCACAAAAATTATCACTTTTATTCCTGATAAAACAGTATACTATTTTTTATTGTTTATCCAACGGCACATTAATAAGAATAAATTTTGATTCTGTAGTTGGTGTGAATTCAGAACCAATACGATTTTTAAGTTGCGTATCGGGTGTTGCTAGTTGCTTATTGGGTGTGAATTCTTCCTATTATTGAAAAAAATATATCATCCATACGGTATATCGATACTTTTCCAACATCCCTTTAAAAGTTCAATAAGTTCAGTTTGAACTCGACTATGCGGATGAGTCAGATACTCTGGGGCCTGTTTCATAAAAAATATTAGTCTAATAATATTTCTCTTTAGCAGGTATTATAAGTCAAAATTATATTATCTATATCATAATTTT